GCTACCATTATGAGCCAATAACACAAACATATGAGACACAAGGAGAGAGGGGTGTCCCTCTCCTATACAAGACTCTAAAACCACCTTTCCACCACTGAAAATCCTTTGGATTTCAGTGGTAGAAAGGTCAAACCAAAGCAAGAACAAAGGCCAAGAGAGGTGGCTCAAAACAAGGCCAAACAAGGCCTAAGAGGGGGTAGACAACCCCCAACCAAAAAGTGACCTTAAAAAATCATCTAAAGCATACAAAAACATAACTTTTTTCAGTTTATAGTTAAGCTTAAAACAATATGCAAATAGGTTTAAAAGCTTAAGCCAAAATGGGGAAACAAAAGGTTAGTTGCTCACCCTTGAAGAACACCTTCAAGAACACAACTCCAGCCACTCCCTTGGATCAAAACTAGCCCAAGAACTCTGAAACCAACTTCCTAGTGCCTTAGCAACCAAAGGAAGGTGTTCTACTAGGTGTTATAGTGCAAAAGAATGAACAAAATACACTTTTAAGGCACCAACACACACACAAATATAGAGAGAGAAGGATATATGAACTCTATATCTATTTTGTTGAACCTCTGGAACGGGAGGGGAGGCTCCCCTCTTATAGGAAATCAAATTCAAAGCTTCTTAGAGAAGCTAAGCTTTGGTTCAAATCCCTCCATACACGTGTATGGAGTGGAGGGTTTGTGCTCACTAGCTGGCACAGCTGGCATGCACAATGCCTGAAAAAGACAAAGAAAAGGCCTCGGCCATAAAATATGGCCGATCGACCAAAATAAGTGCCGACCGACCAATAAAAGTGCCGACCGGCCAACACTTTTGGCTGATGGCAAGAAAACAAGGCCGATGGCTTCAAGCCTTGGCCGGTGGGTTGAGGGGATGGCAAACAAGCCACCTTCTTCCCTCAGAAGCAAAACCACAAGTCCTTGGTCCACAACCAAGCACAAAACAGACAAGTTGAGAGATCCTAAGGCAAGGCGCGCAGCCGAGACCTTCGGGAACTCAAAACGAACACGAGTATGGATGATCATCGAGTGTTCAAATGATGACGTCCAAGTCTTGAGGACGGTCAAAAATGAGGTGTCTACATGCACCTTGTCCTTTAATAATTCAAATTTATTTGTTCCCCTTGACTTTCAGCTGTACTAGGAGAATCTCTTGCACTATGAACATGATTTTATCTATTTTTGGTTTTTATAATTCTGGGTTTGTTGAACATCAAGTACCCCAGCCCAATAGATCTAGGGAGCTAATTATCGAAGAATTGAACTCTGATGAGGAAAAAGAACAAGATGAGGAGAAGAAAGGTAATCCCAGAAAGCATGGCAGATTGAGTAAAGAACCTCATGTTGTTGAATAACAGCTTGCATTTGTCAATTGTTTTGGGCATTTTTTAAAATTGCATGTTGTTATACTTGCATCCTATGTATTTTGTTTTTAACCATTGTTCAACTTTTTAATTCTCTGGTTTTTTTTCCTTTTTCTTTCTCTTTTTTTTTTTTTTTTTTTTTTTGTGTTTGTGTGTGATAGGTACAGGCAAAAGCACAAGAGAGTGAACATTGGAGCAGTGATGCATTGGTGCAGACAGATCTTGACAGGGCTTATGCACAAATTAGTCTTGATGAAATTCTGCTGTTGCTGGAGTGTTGCTACTGCTGTTGATGAACACACTATGTGATTGATAATCATTGTATTTAATGTGTCAAAACCAAAGACAAACAACTAACCTATATTCTCAAAGCTTAAAAACAACATATAATCAACTCGGGTTTTTCAATGATTATGTGATATTGTAGTGTTGATTAGCAATTACTTTTGTGTTATATACATATTGAATTGAAGGAAATGTTGTGATGGCCACATTTGAACACTTGTATGGGAAACAGATGAGGTAATGTTGACTGATACCAAGTTTTGAAGATACCAAGTGAGACCTTTGTAATATTTTTTCCGGACCCAGTGATTTCTTGATCCCCATTTTGTGCGCGTTTTGTCTGATGTAATTTTGTTCAACCCATTGTGAGGTATAATCCGATGATAATTGATATTTATTGACTCTAGAATTTTGTTCAACCCATCATTTTTTTATAATTAGTAAAACTTATTTGATTGTCTCAAAATTATATATTTGATTATTTTAAAACAAATTTTTTAATTAATTAATTAATGTGTATTTGATTTTGTTGTTGAATCAAACAAAATAAAATAAGATTGAATGTATATTTAGCTTTTGTTGTGAACCTCAAAAACAAAAAAAACAAAAAAAAAGAAAAAAAAGAAAGAAAGAAAGAAAAGAAAAGAAAAGAAGATTAAATGTACATTTAGCTTTTGTTGTGAACCTTAAAAAAAAAATAAAAAATAAAAAATTTGAATGTATATTTAGCTTTTGTTGTTTAAAAGAATTAAAAAAAAAAAAGATTGAATGTATATTTAGTTTTTGTTGTGAACTTAAAAAAAAAAATAGTTGTTAACATTAAATAAATAAATAAATAATATGGATCAAGGTGGGTTGGGGAAAATCTAAACCCGGAAGGGTGGTACCCATAGAGAATGGGAAATGAGGAATGAGGAAAATTTATTATAGGAAAATGAGAATGTGGAATTAATATCCACCCTATTAACCTCTATTGCCATCCCTATGCCTCCGCCCCTGCTTAGCCACCTTAAATTATTAATTAACGTTAATTTTCCTTTAAGAAACAATTATATAAATTGATGAAAAATCTACATAGACTTTCACATGATATTTAAAGTATTGTGAAATGTTCAAAATGACATTATTCTTTTCTTTCCCCTTATTTTCTCTTTTTACCTTCCGCCATTTTTTCTACCCATGAAAACTTATTTGATTGTCTCAAAATTATATATTTGATTATTTTAAAACAAATTTTTTAATTAATTAATTAATGTGTATTTGATTTTGTTGTTGAATCAAACAAAATAAAATAAGATTGAATGTATATTTAGCTTTTGTTGTGAACCTCAAAAACAAAAAAAAACAAAAAAAAAGAAAAAAAAAGAAAGAAAGAAAGAAAAGAAAAGAAAAGAAGATTAAATGTACATTTAGCTTTTGTTGTGAACCTTAAAAAAAAATAAATAAAAAAAAAAATTTGAATGTATATTTAGCTTTTGTTGTTTAAAAGAATTAAAAAAAAAAAAAGATTGAATGTATATTTAGTTTTTGTTGTGAACTTAAAAAAAAAAATAGTTGTTAACATTAAATAAATAAATAAATAATATGGATCAAGGTGGGTTGGGGAAAATCTAAACCCGGAAGGGTGGTACCCATAGAGAATGGGAAATGAGGAATGAGGAAAATTTATTATAGGAAAATGAGAATGTGGAATTAATATCCACCCTATTAACCTCTATTGCCATCCCTATGCCTCCGCCCCTGCTTAGCCACCTTAAATTATTAATTAACGTTAATTTTCCTTTAAGAAACAATTATATAAATTGATGAAAAATTTACATAGACTTTCACATGATATTTAAAGTATTGTGAAATGTTCAAAATGACATTATTCTTTTCTTTCCCCTTATTTTCTCTTTTTACCTTCCGCCATTTTTTCTACCCATGCCAGCAGTCATGGTTATTGGCACGCTGACTACTGTTGTGTAGAAGGAAAGAGAAAAAACAAAGTAAAACCATTTTAAGCACTCTAAAATATTTGAGATGTTATGTGTAAATTTTATATCAAATTTTTATCCACTTAGATAACAAATTATTAACAAAAGATTTATATTGATTCAAATTGATAATTCAATATGACAAAATAAATTTTTTTAATCACATGAATAAAATTGAGCGATAGTTGAAGGAATAAAGTATCCCTGGTCGTTTTTATAATATATTAAACAGTTTTATAAAGAGTGGCCGTCCAAATGATTCGACTTGGTAAGCAAAGAGTCGTGCATCTTTTTGCACTCCAAATGAATAATATACAAACTTATTTTCTAGAGAGTAAGTGGGAGAGAATTAACTTAGATATTTAAAAAAAAAATTATATTTTCTAATTAAGGTATTTTAATTTCATTCCTAATGACGTGGTTAAAACTCATGTGAGGTGATCCCACACTCATTTCTATCTTTTATCTTTAACCCTCCTAATTTCACATTATTGAAATGGAATTGGGAGGGGGCACAAAATTAGAGGGATGAATCATTTTTTGATATTTGGATAAATTACATTGACACCCCTTGAGATTTGGTCCAATAACTATCCATCCCTTAACGTTTTGAAAATTACATTCTCACCCTTGTAGTTAATAGTCTCATTTCACAAACCCCCTATTTATATAAAATGTAGCAACTCCTAGTAAAAAAATAGAAGAAATTACATTTTAAAAAAAAAAGTAAAGGAAAGGGGAAAAAAAATAGAAAGTAAAGCAAAGCCAAAAAAGAGAGAGTGCATGAGTTCAATATTTTTATTCTGTCTAAATAATTACAATGACAGGGGAGTTAGTGTAATTTCCCAAACGTTAGAGAGTGATATGTATTAAACTCAAATCTCAGGAGGTGTAAGTGTAATTTACCCTTGATATTTTCATAGGGTGCCACATCATTGAGTTTAAAAAGTGAGTCTAATTTTTTATTTGAATAGAACTACTCTTTCCAAATTTAAACAAGAGTTATGCTATACATTCCAAATATTCTACTAAACCTCTCACATAGGTGTGAGACCCACACACATGTGGATTTGTGTGAGTCCCACCCCATATGAGAGGTTTGGTAGAATATTTAGGATACATAGCATTTCTCTTTTAACAAAGTAATGCAAAACTAACTCAATGGTGCTACACGTACCAATTGGTATACTAATTAGTGTACCAACACATGTTATAACATTGTAATTTCAAAATTATAAACTCCACCCATTATACAAATTATAAAGATTCAAAACCAATAAAATTATACCACATCATTTGTTAATATACTAATTTATATATTAATGGGTGTGTATAGTTTTATTCTAGCCAATTTCCATGATCTGACTTCGAAGTGTTTTCGCATTAATTTAAAATGTCCAATGCTACAAAACATTCATACGAGATTGGAGGAAGAAATATAAATAACTACATATAAAAATTCAAACAATAGTCAAATGGAGAAAGCCAAACTCAGTCGTTCCTTGCATGTCATTTTCCACCATGGCCCGTCAACTTTCACTATCTTGCAAGCCTTATTAGAGAAAATGCATTTCAAAAACTAGGGAGGAAAAATGGAAAACATTTGGGCGGGCAAAGATTTGCTTAGAGAAAATAATAATAATAATATTGATGATAGTCAATCTTTCTCAAGTTAACCATTCCGCATCGATTTCTTCAATCTCCCCGATGTCCATGCTGCACGTATGGAAGAAGGGATGGTAAGCAAAGTAGGAGAACATAATTAGAAACCGTGCAAAATCTATAACAATTATTGTAGGAAAAATGTTAGGGACCCAAATATTTTACCAACATTTTTACCAAATGTCTCACATGTTATTGTAGTAAAGGCATGACACCAAAAACAAAAATTCCATTGTACTGCACAACAACCAAGCACGGGTCCAATTCCTCTAAAATTAATGTGTGCTATTTTATGAAGTAAACTTTTAATTGGTTAATATGATTTTTTGAAAAATTAATGTATATATAGTAGAGGAAAAATATTTGGTTTTGTTACATTGATTTTATTAGATAACCGATGCCTTAAAGTTATCGTAAAAAAATACAACAAAATTGTAATTCAATATGCTATTTGATTTGTGTATACATATTCATGAACATATGTATGAATTCTATTATGTATATACTGAATATATAGAACTATATACCTATATTGTATTGTATGTACTTATGCGTGTTTTATGTATGTATATTACAAATAATATAGATATTTTTTTTTGTATATTTATGTGTGTGTGTGGGGCAGTTTTTTTTCTAGAATACAGTTGAGAAGAAAGAGGAAACAGAGAAGTATTTTTCCATAATAATAAGAATCAGTAGAGGATGAGAAGGAATATGAGGCTGTACAAACTTCCACAGTATTATTGTGGGGATCTGATTTCCAAGCGATAAGGGAACCAACCTTGAGTAACAGGCGAACTCATACTTTAGAAGAAGATCTGAATTCCAAGCAATAGGGGAACCAACCCTGAGCAATTGGCGAAATCATATATATATGTACATATATATTTTGGATACCCAAATGAGATTCGTATGCTCAATAACTAAAATTCACTAAAACCATTCAATCTTTTAACAATAAGATGTATCATGTGTGTGTCTAATTGCAAATTTGAAAATTAAGAAAATGATGACTTGGTAAATTTTGGATAAAAGTAAATTCGATCAAAACTGACAAAATTTGGTGTTTTAAAAAATATTTGCCAAATTTGCGCAGATTGTTGGAGTGACTCTTAGGTGCTTCACTGCTAAATTTTAGCTTGGCATGAGAGGACCGCAAGCCACACCTATCCCCAAGACTCATTATTTGATTGGCAGAAAACAAATAATAAAAGAGAAAACAGCCAAAGTATTGTACACAGAGAGAGGGAGAGGGAGAGAGCACCTGCTAGGCATAGGAACAGAAAAGATCTCTATTCTATCTGTGTTCAATTAAAAAAAGAAAAAGAAAATAAGAATAATCTTAAAAGAACAAAAGTTGAACTTCTTACCATGGCAAGGCAGGAGCTTGGAAGTAGTCATCTAATGAGCAGTGGTCATTCATATAATGATGGCCGTCATTTGAATTATTCAACCAGGCCGGGAATTCCATAACTTCATCAAAAGGATAGTACCCATCATCATCATCGTCGTCGTCGTCGTCATCATCATAATTATCATTATCATTATCATCATTATCGTCTTTACCTTTGCCCTTTGGTCTAATTTTGGTAGTCTTGAAGAACTTGAACCACCACGCGGATGTTACTAAATTCAAGGTGTCATTCCACTCCATCTCATGTTGTTCTCCTATCGATCTGATCTCTGCCATCTCCTGATCATCCATCGCCAGATGTAAGCCTAAGTCTCCACCTCCAACTCCACCTCCACCTCCACCTCCACCTCTATTGGCCGGGTCTGCAACGTCACCCATGGCTGCAGAAGTCCCCTGTTGTTGTAATATTGACAAGGAAGCGGAACTTCTAGGGAATTCCTGATCAGTGGTGTTAACAGGAAGTGTGGTTGAAGGAGACGTTGACGATGATGATGGAGACAAGGACGACGAGTAGATTGATGATGGGTTGTTGCAGTTTTTGTAGTACATAGTTGCATCCAAGTTATTAAAGTCCTGAAAATTGAGATTCAATCCTAAGGTTTGGCTAGGGAGTGTGAGATTTATATTGAGATTTTCAGGGTTGGCTGGGGAAGGAGGAGGAGGAGCGATTTGAGAAGCAGGACAAGAAGAGTAAGGATTTTGAGAAGAACAACAGATAGTTTGAGATGAGTGGGAGATGCTTGCGAGATAGTTTGAGAAACTGGGTTTGGTAGATGGGTAAATTTTGGGAAGATTCCTCCTAGATTTTATCTTTCCTTGTTGCACTGATAATTGCTGAGCTGGAGGCTGCAATTGTTGGTGTTGGGGTTGGGGTTCTTGTGGCCGCGGTGGTGGTGGTTGGTGGCGTTGCTCGTTGGATTGTTTCATTGCTGCTCTGTGGAACTTAAGAGCAGTGACTATTTCTCTCCTTGCCTCGGCCATATTTAAAAGCCTCTCTTGGTAAGGCCTACTGGTGTGAAGCCTCCTTCTAACTTGTTTTTTGTGCCGTTGAGGTGCTGGTGGTTGGGATGGGTGTTGTCCCTCACTCGAAACCTGACCAAATTTGGTTAAATTTTGGTGGCCATGAAATTCATCTCTATCTAAAGCAGTAGTGGTGGTGGTGGTGGTGTGAGTAGTAGTAGTAGTGTTGTCTGGATCTTTGGGACTAATTCTTGTGGGTGGGTCTTTGGTTCTTGAAGAAGTTAGCTGCTTTACAAGGCTACGGATGTATGCGCCAGAGAGATGAGGCTTTTCTTTGAGATTGTCAAGCTTGTCTACTTGCCTTGAACTTGAACCTGAACAAGATCTGCCCCTCATCTTTGTGTTTTTGTGTCTGTGTGTTTGTCTCTCTTTGGGCAATTACGGGTTGGGGTGGTGGGATGTAGAAAGCAGGTGTGTTGGGAAGATCAAGATTTCTTTTTCTTTTTCTTTTTTTTTTTTTCCTGAAAGTGTCAAGTACAAAATGCAGGGACAGATTCCGGGGAGTCTCTCATGGGTGTTATAAATAGTAGTCGGCTGACAGTCTAGGGCTTTATGTTCTTTTGGATTTTTCCCTGTTTTGGCAAAATACAGGTTGTTATCATTTCTTACTTAACTCGCTTTAAATAGGTAGTTAGAGAAGAGCCCATGCCTTGGGTAACTAATCGAACTTAATTCCATTCCAAATTACAATAATTAAAACGGTTCTTAGATATAACAAAGTTCTATAAACATTTTTTTGCATAAACTCGCTGAAAAAAAAGCCATAAGAAAAAAGAGAGCCTAATGCGTGAATAAAAAATTTTATTTATAAAATCTATGAGAGATTATTTAGTGATATGAAAGTAATATTTGAAACCATCCATCGCATAACAAATATCATGTTGTCTCTCTAAAACTAATATAAGGTACTGATACAATACTTACTGTTTTAACCAATAAAATTAAGTTGGGACACCATATATACTTCACCCAAGACAATCATATAATTTTTCTAAAATATATACATAATGATATGACAAATTTGTATTTATTCCATTCAAATTAAAAGATCTATTAAAGTGACATTATTATAAAAATGTCACTATTTTATAATTTTGATCAAATTTTTTTTAGGTATGAATTTTTCTTACTTTAATACAAAAACAACACTCGGTCATGTTCAGCAACTACAGTCCTTGTCATGGAATTGATCAGTGTTCAACACAAGAATGTAGCAGGAAATTGTTGCTGGTGACCGTATTGCCCTGCCTCCGGTGAATTTTGCTCAACTTGTTTCGATTTAGTGCAGTTTCTTTCTTCTAGTGGTTGGAACTCGGATGGATTTAGGCATAGAATGTTTGATGGGCACATTTGGCATCTTGTTTGCGAGTTTGTACTCTTTGGGGCTCTTAAAAGAATGATTGTATTTTCACTAAAATTATTGGCGTGTGAAATTATTTTAAGGACAAAATATTAAAATTAAATATATTTTATTATCTCTTTGCACTTCTTAATCTTCAATTCCTACTCCTCTTTTTCTTTCTCAATTTTTCTTTTCTCTTATACATCTCTTTTCAAAAAGTGAGAATCATAATATTTTAATCATAAAAGAAAGTAATGGATGAAGAAAATGGTGATGAAGAACCATCAAAAAAGTAAAATTGTGAGTTTTTTTATTTTGTTTGGTAAGTTTTTGTTTCATTTTTCTGAACTATTCTTTGATTTTTGTTCGGTATTTCAAAATCTAACAAAATAAAATAGTCCGGTATCACATTGTCAAACAAAAATTGTATGTTTGGTAACCAACTGCTAAATAAATGATACATTTCTGGTAACCCAAGGTCAAATTTTTTTAATTTGTTCAAATACTTATTACCATGTATTTTCAATTTCATTTTTTTTTATATATTTTATATTTTATTATTTGGAATGATTATACTTCTACTCATTGCAACAATGCAAGTACTACACTATTAATGAACTCCAGTCATAAATTTATTACAGACGATGTTTGTTAAGGTTTTTTTTTATAAATAATTTTTACGAACGACAATACATTGCTGGGAAAAAAAAGTTTATCAGGCAATATAATACTGGATTAATTCAAATTCATTAGCATTGTATTATTGAACAGACTCGACACAAATTTAAAAATCATTGTTTGGAAGAAAGTGACTTTGTAAATATATAGTAACAAAACGCTGGAGAAATCTATTTTTTCCAACAATATAACACCGGAGGAATGTAAATTGTTTAGCACTGTGTAATCGAACATGCACTTCGCTGTGGGATCTACTCACTGTCTTTTTTTTGTATTTCTGTTTCTCTTGCTGTGTCTTTTTCTTTTAATTTCTCTCCAAAAATTATTAGTGTAAAGAGATGAAAGTATTTTGAATAGGCAATTTTAATAATATAATAAGTGTAATAAGAGTCACATTTTTATTAATAATATAATAAGATATATAGTGTAAATAGATAAAATAATAGTATAAGTTGAATACTCTTAAAAACGTCAGCAAAAGCCTATGGAAACTGACAGAAGAATCTCCACTACTGTTGTTGTAACGTAACCACCACCACCCCCCCCTCTCTCTCTCTCTCTCTCTCTCTCCCTCTCTCTCTCTATATATAGTATATATTATTATTATTATTATTATAATATGTTATATAACATAAAAAGGTAGAAACTCCCAACATTTTCTGTTTAAATTGTCCAACATGATTAGAGTCTGTTCATGAAACAGAGAACTTGGACCTTTTGTAAAGGCATTACACAGCCTGGTGAAGACAGAAACGCTCCATACCTCTCCCTTAATTCGTTTTCAATTTTTCTTTCCTTGTTTGTTGCCTTTTAATTTCTTTTTCAAAAATGCTCCATCCCTTCGAACTCCTCCAATGATGTGGATTATCATTAGAGGAGTTTGGGGGAGGGGAATCATTGGTGGAGTTTGGCGGTAGCGTTGCTCTGTTTTTTTTTACAACCCAATTGATGGTGACACACAGTGAGCATGCTTTCTATGTCTTTTACCAGAAATAGTAAAATGTTTAAAAAATAAAGAAAATTGCCATTGCTGTTATTGTAAATGAATGAGCTGACACAGAGCAACTTTAATCGTAAAAATTAAAATGACTTTGTTAAAATTATTTTTGGATTGTTACTGTATAAAAAAATAATTGTTTTACTATATCGCTCCAATGATTTATATGTTATTTTGACGCAATCAATTCTTATATCAATTTTTCGTCATTGAATTTATTCATCAAAAAGTCTATTGTGATTATGATTTAATTTTGTAGATACGGTAAAAATAGCTTTGCCAAAACTGAAGCTAAATTTAGAACAATATTTGATTTCACCATTTTTTGACAAGGATTTTGACAAGATTGAAAATGGATTTTTGAGATGTCTAACTAAAAAAAGGTTTTGACAAACCTTAAAACAAACAGGTGTTGTGTAGAATTTGAATCAGATTTAACCACTTGACTTGCAACAACACCATATAGATGTGAGTTGACTATTTAGATTTTTGGTTATTTTAATTTGAAATTAAAAAGTTTCATTTGAGATGATTTTTTAACTTTTGTGAAAGAAAAAATTAATAAAATGATTATAATTTATATATGATTTTTTTGTCTTATTAACCTTTTAATTCATTTTATTTATTTTTAACTAAAATAACCAAAATAGCATGTGCCAAACATAGCCATAATTTCACAAACATAGTTAATTAATCCTCCTCAAGTAAATTTAAACCATACGGAGACAAAAATAAAAAATAAAAAAATAAAAATCTCATAATACATTTATTGACTCTAGACTTTTAATGTTTGGTTGGCATATCAACCGACGAAAGAATGTGGTGCTGAGATTGTAAATAATCTTGTTAGTACAATTTTCGTTAGGCTTAGATCAATAGAGTTTTAACATAAATTTCATCAAACAACATAATAATCAAATATTTGTATTGAGATTCTATGCTTTAAAAGTTTTAAGGATTTTTTTAGAGTAAAAACAATGGCAACACAAATAGAAAAATAGAAAAAAGAAAGAGAGAACAAGAGAATGATGTAAAATGATTTAATAAATAATCGAATTATAAGTAAAGTACATTAAAAGACTATCACCACATTCGAATATCACCACATAACCTTCTGTGGTTAATGGATTTAAGTGCATAGTTAATACTGTTAATGACACAAGTAAAAAGATTATTTTGCCCTTATATATGTAACCTTTGTTTACCATTTTCTCATTCAACAGTTGTGCATTTGAGAAAAGCGAGGGTTGTGTGAGAGAACCTAAAGTTTTAACCCCTTCAAATCTGACGATAAAAACCCCTCTTCTCTATCCCAACCTTCTTTGCCTTCCTTAGATGATCACAGCCCCATCGTCGGTGTGATACTCCTGTTCCGTAATATACTAATCGGTCCGTAATTTAAACATGATTATGTGCTTGACATGATTTTGTGTGCCAATTATGCGAATATATGTGGTTTTGAATTTCTATCTGTTCATCGTAGGAATATCTGTTTGATTATCTGTTTTGGAGATTAAATTGGAGGCCTTATCGGCCACAGAACCCGAAATTGATTGCGCCATTGTGATTGGCATGGCTTTTAGAGTCTACGGTGAAATTTAATTGAAAATTTATTTGGGTTAGATTAATCGCTTAAATTGATGAATTAGTACCCAATTGTTATTAATATTATAATGGACTTAGTGGAAGTTGTTGTAAAGAGGCACTACACCTCAATTCTCCTCCTTAGTTGCATTGTGGCTGATCTTGGACTCAAAATTGAGAGAGAGCCGACTATAGAGAGAGAGAAATAAGAATTGTACAATTTTGGTCTTGAGACTTGGAGATTTGAAGTCTAACTCAAGATTTGATCATAAATTGGGAAGATTAAGGCTCCTAGGTGGGTGAATTTGTATATCTTAGTTTGTAATCTTTGTGAATTCAAGTTGAATGTTGATAAGGATCATAAGATGAATTGATCATGATGAAATTGAATTAGTTTTGTTAGAATTAAAGCTTGATATATGCATGCATGTAAGAAATTGTTTGAATTTGCATGTTTAAGCTTGAACCACATGATTCATGTAGGATTTTGGTTAGAACTCATGTATAATCACCATTTATATCATCTAAGTTGAGAATGGGAGCTAGACATCACATGCATGTACAATTTATGAAGATGAGAGCTTTGAATGCATGAATGTGTATGTTAGAATTGAGTTTGGTGTCAATTTGACCCATGCATGTGTTAAATCCTTGAAATTGAGCCCCATGATGTTGTGTTTTGGTGTTTATACCATGTTAGAACTAGTATATTTGAGATTTGAGCCATTGTATGCAAGAATTGTTGGCTTGAAGGTCGAATTTGAACTTAAGAACACAATCTGGGAAACCCAGAATTTTGACATCCGCTCGAGCGGGAAATGCGTGCTCCCAGCACTTTTTGCACACTTGATGACCGCTCGAGCGAGGTAATTCACACTCGAGCGGGGGAGCTATTTTGACAGGCCTTCCGCTCGAGCGCCCTATTTCACGCTCAAGCGTATTTTTGATGCAACCAGCACTTTTGCAGGCCTATAGGGTCCGCTC